CCAAAAAAAAAAAAAGACCCAATGGCTGCCGTCACATCAGGGCTAGGGTTTCAACCTGTGCCCTTCGGGACACAAACACACACCATAGAGCACGTGCGTGTTTTGTGCAGTGCTGAGTGGCAGATGAGAGCACCTTTGGAGCTGGCTTTGGCCGGGGCATCTTGGGGTGGCCGTCGTCCTGCCGTGGGCAGCTGAAAGGCCCGCTGGGGAGCTGCCGCAGGACTTGGAGGCGGGAGGTTTGGAGACGCTCCACCAGGCCTTCCCTGGGGGCGCGGTCAGCTGGGTCAGGTGGGGGTTGGCCCTTCCTGGAAGGGCACACTTCTGCATGCCCCAGTGCCTCCAGCTTCCCTGCCTTGGCGCAGGTTAGTGCCCTGTCCCGCCTCCCAGTGGGCCCCAGGGTCCCTGGTGCTCTGCTCGGGCCCAGCCACCTGCTCCGGTGCCAGGAGGGATGAGCCTCGAGCTCTCCCTCTCACTGGCCTCAGACTCAGCCCTTGCTTGCGCTCCAAGCCAGGCTCCTGTGGAGGCTAGAAGTGTGGCTCCCGTCTCCTGTGGGTTAGAAGGTTCTAGAGCAGAGGCAGTGCAGCATGTTCTTCCAGGTGCTATGCTGATGGGGAGCAACTCGGGGGGGTCACGTGGCCCCCCAAGGCTCAGAAGCCCCTTGTGCTGAGAGGCAGAACTGCAGGGCCAGCCCTGGGTCAAGTCACCCGGGACGGAGCCCCTGCCCCCAGGAAGGTCACACAAGGGAGGGGCTTGAAGTGGGTGACGGGCACCTGGGCTCCAGAATGTGCAGGGCCTGCGGCCACAGTGAGGACAGGGCTTCCTTCTGGACAGGAGGGGAGGCCTGGAGAGGGTTTTGAGCAAAGGATCTCTCTGGCCTGTGTGAGGTACAGATGGGAGGGGACAGGAGAGGACCAGGTGGGCTGTGGAGGTTTGGATGAGAAGGGGGCCCGGTTGCCCTTGGTTCTCTAGCGGGTCGGGATGGACCGTTCTCGAGCGCTGAGTGGTCGCCCTCCTGCACAGCCAGGCTCTGCCACCCGGGGCCGAGGGAGGAGGACGGGAGTCCGGGAACGGACACCACGCTTGGGACTGGCCCCGGGTCTGCGCAGGGGCTGCCGTCTGCCAGGGGGACCAGCCTCAAGCCTGACACCGTGGCCCTGCCGGCCTGGGGCAGGGGCACGCGGTGGGCTGGGCCCTACAGCCGGCTGAGTGTGACCCTGCGTCAGGGTGACCGAGAGCTGCGCCCACCGCTCCCCCCAACCCCGGCTCAGGGGTGCCCAGTCCTGGGGCGGCACAGATGCCCACTCTGCGGTGGGGGCCGGTGAGGGGCGGGGGGCTGGATCTGGCCCGTGACCCGGGAAGTGGGCAAGCCCTGTGGGGAGGAGGACGCAGCTCCATAGGGACTGAGGGTCCCGGCCCCAGCCCACTGACTTTCTCTGCCCTCTCTGCCCCATGGCCAGGCCATCTTCAGCTCTCCCACTTCCTTCCTCCACCCAAGCAGGGACTGGCGTGGGCGTTTTTGTTCTCGTCATCAGTCATCCTCCATGTTCCCAGCGCTGCTTCTCCCGGCCCCGCCCCGCCCCGCCCCGCCCCGCCCCGCCCCGGGGCACTCAGCGTCCTCCCTCCAGGCAGTTCTGACCGAGCTGGAGCCCCTCCCATTCCCCCCTCCTCCTGTTTCCGGGCCCCGCCCTGGCTCCCTCCTAGCCAAGGCCCCACCCAGCAGGCGCGTCCCCAGGGTGGGGCGTGGGCTGGAGCAGACATGCAGGCACTTCCTACCCCGCCACGTGGCTTCCAAGACCATCTCTGTGATCCAGATGAAGAAATAGGCCCTGTGGGCTGGAGGTGGAGGACTGGGCGGCTGCTCCAGTGGGGCTGGCCCCGGGAGGTGTTGCCCTGACGCAGCCGGGAGGCTGACCACAGCCCGGCAGGTGCTTTCCACGTCGTGCTGGGCGGAGGGGACCAGACGGGACAGCAGTGCCCTTGGGGACACCCAGCCCAGCATGGAAGCCGGGGCTGAGACATCGCCTTTGTTCTGCCAGCTCCCAGAGCAGTGTGGAGCCTCCCTGGGCTCAGGTTTCCCGGGACCCACTGCCCTGGGTCTGGGGCTCTTGCACAGAACCGAGGGCTGAGCTGCGGCCCCGTCTGGGGAGCCGCCATGGTGGGAGGAGGGGCGGGTGGAGGCAGTCGGCATGGACACAGGCCAGCAGAGCAGAGGCCGCCCTTCTGGCCTCTGGGCGGCTCTTCCCGTCCTGCCAGCCTGACGCCAGGCCTCCAGCCAGGTCGGCCAGTGGAGGCGGGAGGAGGGAGCACAAGCCTGCCACTGCCCCCGGGTCACCAGGCCTCACCTTGGCTGCGCCCATGGCAGCCTCGGGGCTGCAGTACCACCTTCTCTCTGGGGGCACAGCTGACTGACTCTGGGAGGCCTCTGGGCAATGCCTCAGAGACTCAGGTGTAGCTGTTGGCCAGGGCGCACCACTGGGCCTCTCCCAGACTCCAGGGCTGCACTCCCAGGTGGGGAGTGCAGAGGGGCTGGGGTCGGGGTCAACCCCCGGGGCCTGTCTTCTGCCCATGTTCCCAGGCTCCAGCTGCCTTGGTTGCCCACGTCCCCGGAAGCCTTCGCAAGCCCCGGACCTCCCTGCACCCCCAGTGTCTACAGGGAGGGAGCCTGGAGTGAGAATACGGCCGCGATGTGAGGGAGCGCTTATCCTCACAGCTGGGACGGGGGAGGCTTGGATGTTTTTGTGGCCTGGACGGCGTTCAGATGTTCAGTGTTCACGTCTGTGTTTCTGTCTCGATCCCACGGGTCCTGGAGTGGCCTTGGCTAGGTTGGTATGGAGTGCAATTATTTATGTCCACGGGAGGCCACCCAGGCCCAGCGGACGCACCTGCTCCCTTCAGCGGGGGGCTACTCTCCTCACACGTGTCCCCCTTAAGCAGCACTTCTGGCTTGAGATGGTGGTATTCTATCACGTTCATGACCAGGCACTCCTGACAGGTGAGTGTTAGCAGGGGAACAGGGGACGGAGCAGAACCTGAGAGTGGCCTTTGGGGGTGGGGCGTTCATGGGTGGTTTTCCTCTTTTTTTCTCCCAGGCTTGACCCAAGGGTGGCCCCAACCTCTGGAGCTGTGTGGCCAGCAGTGGGGCAAGGACTCCAAGAGAGGCCTGGGAAGGGGGGGCCCTGTGGGCTGAAGAGTGTGTGGGAGCCCCCATACTGTCTTCTCTTTGCTCCCACTGATTCTCCCCAAAGGTAGCCCCAGGTGGGTGGAAGTGAGGCAGTGCAGGCAGCTAGAACCCTGGAAGAAACCCATCTTTTTGCATAGAGGAACCAAGAAAAGGGGTGCCAGGAGTAACAGCCAGTGAGGCAAATCCCAGGGAGGAGACAGCGCTGGCGGAGTGGACCCCTCGCTTTCCATATATACTGACAGGCGCTGGCTCACCCTGAGTTGGAACAGACCCAAAGCAGCATATAAAAGGCTATGAGGGCAGAACAGACATAAACCAGCCCAAGTCCTAGACTAACTGAGTGGCAGCTGTACAGAGTGGACCCAAGGCAGCACAGCAAAGTCACAGCCACAGAAGGAGACGGAACTTGTGGTCTGAACCTAATGGGGTTGACTGCCTTCTAAAACAAACAACTGACATCTGCCAGCGGATTTTAACAGGACCCTGAGGCTCATGACGTAACATTCAAAAATGTCAATCAAGGATTCAGTTTGAAATTAGCCAGCACA